AAGGCACCTGGAACTTTAGAGCTGTGAAAGCAGAAAATTTATAGAAACACTATCTCTTTACTACAAACACAGCTATCCTTTGACAAAAAAGTCACACTGCTCTGAATTTTGCAATGCAGATCTCCAGAAACCGTGTATAGAAATGCATGAACCAGAGGAAAGTGTGTGTGAAAATGCATATGTTAACATGCAAAAATGCATTTTGCAAATCGGTTGCAAAAACAAGTATATTAATCAAAAGTGCATACAATAATTAGAAATGCATGTGAAACTGCTGGCTAATTTTCACAAGGACATTCTTTTTTTATAAAAAAAAAAAGTTTGAAAACTGATGTAGAAATGTAGACAACCGAACTTTAGTTTGGAAAAAATGAGAAACAGAGAAGCTGAAGTTGTCAGGTTTATCCATCACATGTATATGGGCTAAAGATGGGAAAGGGAGAAAAGAGGTCACTAAAGTTTGTTCTCTTAAGATATGTGCATAATTGCCTTCAACTCCATCATATATAATGTGTTTCATTTGCTCAGTTTCTTTTTTTAATGATATCCCAGGAACCAAATTTATATTCCAAGCCCTTGGCATATAACCAATCCCTAAACTTTAAAGTCTTCTCCAGTTCCCTCCCCCGAAACAATTATGTAATATTAAAGTATGGAAGGAGTTGTGGCCTCAGTTCACTGTATATGATATCATTAGGATTCCCTAATGGACTATCATGTTGGTGCAGCTGGCTTTGGAAGAACCCTCCTGAGCAATATTTTCCATATTCCCAAATGCTCAGAACCATTTCCCATCATTCAACCAATTTAAGGCTTTTAATCAGCAAAAGGTCTTATTTTAACTGATTAATCAATAAAGTAACCAATTAAAATAAGTGCTAATATCATGATCCTTAGTGACACATCGATGATCTGTAATTATGACCCACGTTACTCTTAAATGAAAATGAAAATGATTTTTTGTTTTGTTTTAAAAATTATTTTCCTATCTTGCACAGAGATAGTTTCAGTCTGAAAAAGGCTACAATCCTTGACATAAAAGAAGACTTAGAAGTAAATCCTAATGAAATCAATTTGTTGCACATCTGGTGTGGAGAACCTGTGGCCCTCCAAATGTTATTGAACTACGTGAGCCCCAGCCAGCATGACCAATGGTCAGAGATTATGGGAACTGGAGTCCAGCAACATCTAGAGAACCACAAGTTCTCCTTTTCTTGTGTATGCAAATACCTAATGTACCATTTCTACATACTGATCATATTCAGGAACTCATTTGGCTGCTGTTAAAAATGCCTCCACTTTGGAATATTAAAAGCGATCAATCTCAAGTTTTCCAGAGTCGAAGACAATCTTTCATTATAATCACTCTGTGATCCATAAAAAGGTCAGGGGTTTTGTCATATGCAGAAAAGAACTCTCCTTGCCAAATTATCAAGCCATTAGCGGTGGGCCTTAAATAAATAGTTCTGCCCAGCCAGTGTTTTCCATGAACACTAGGAGTTTGTAAAAACTGACTCAGTCCATAGACTTTCCTTTCCATTTAATGGCTCTGTTGCAATTCCCCTCCCCCCCCCCCGCCCTACTTCCCTGATTATTAACTCTAGTTTTTCATACCATAGCAAGCAACTCTTCTGCTTATTAGTGTTAGCTGATGAACCTACCAATCCGAACACTTGCTAAGCAGGCCAAGCATGTCACCGACAACATTAAGGCGGATCTGGGTTGATTAGAGAGCAGCAGAGCTCTGTGAACCCAAAAAGATCTCTAGGAGGCAGCCAGAATGCAACAGCTTACATATCAAACCACAGAATGTGCTCCATAGAATAAATATAGAGTCGCATCAGCTGGAACAGTCAAGCTGATGAAATTCCAGAAAGTGGGTTGTTAGTCTCATCTCATAATGCATGTATTCTGCTTCTTTTCCGGAAAAAGCTTCTACCACACCAACCATCAATCTCACCCATAGGTGCCAACTCCCAGGGGCCCTGGGGGCCCAAGGACCCACAAAATTCCCCATGAAGGGGCTGGGCACCCACAAATTTTGGTGCCAAGGCCATGCATGGCAACCACGGCCCTGGGCACCCATGGTCCTGGGGCCAAGTTGACACACCTGATCTCACCTAAACCAATCTAACCTGGGAAGCAATTCTGGTATCACAAAGGACAGTTCTTGATAGCATCTTAAGTGTGGAGGTGCATTTGTGTATGTTTACATTTTTAAAAAATAGCAGTCCAATAATACCAGGAGAGCCAGAGGTTTCTCAACCCAGCACTAGGGAGTAGTGTCAAGCCATAGCCATACACTTCAGAGTCCTGCTTGAGGAATCTTCAAGTGATTAACATTGCTCACTGCAAGGTTCATCATCCCATAAGATAACTCTCTTGGGGGAGCTTTAACAGAATCGAGCCTTCATCTTAACACTTTTTGCAACATAAATTCATTCCTTACCAATGAAACTGTGGTTTTCCCCAAGCTAATTGCATCTTTTCAGTGCCCTGAGTCAGATAAGCCATATCTCATTAGAGAGGGAGAGAGAAAGATTTAGTATGAACTCAAAGCCTTCTTCAGAACATTAAAGAACCAGAATCCCTAATCAGCACAGTATATATTTTGTATAATTGCACCTTGGCAACTCTTTTTTTGCTCATTAAGTTGAAATGTACAAATGATGTATTTTTACAAGGCAAAAAAACTCTCGGTCTATTATTGTTTATACATACAAAGTATGCCTGGGATCTGTGGGATCATCTGGTTTCATAGATACAACAGCTAAAATATTATCGTTGGAGTATCAAGTCTATCAGAAAGCAGGGAACCCAGCTTTCAACCAATGTAAACTGACCCAGCTCTCTCAAAGTTAATAAGTTCATAAGTTTCTTTACGCATCTGGCCAAATCTGTGAAGATAACAATCTGCCAGTTGAAAATCTAGTCTCAGGACATAAAGGAAATGAGGACTTGTGCCTTGTGGCACTATTAAGGATTAATTATTTGTCAAGATTCTTCACGATAAATTGTGAGAAATAATGTCTGCTAGCAGATGGAGGGGGTGAGGTGGGGAGGGAGCCTGCACAAATGACCCCAGCTATCCTGGCTTGAGCTGTCTTGCCATGAATTAGGTTGGTTTTCTGTACCACCCTGCCAAATGGTAAGGAAGATTTGGCCATATGCTTGGTCCTGATGTGTGATCAAAAAAGTGGTAGGATAATGGTTCACCTGGATGAACTCAATGCTACCACATATTCTAAGGGCTCCAAATCCCTCACAGTGCACATGTGATACTCTCTCTTAGCATGTTGACAACATTTAAAATTTTCTGTGTCCTTCTTCTGTGATAGAATCTTTGTTTCATTAAGAGGGGCACACGAGAAGAACACATAACCACAGAAAAAATGGCCAAGATTTCAAACACCCAAATCTCTCCTCAGTCATTCTCTGCCAACCATAATTGACTGCCTTGGGGAAGAGTGTCAGGGTTCACACATGACACTAAGCCAGTGAGAGGCAGTGTGGTGTATCGGTCAGAGCGTCAGGCTATGACCTGGAAGACCAGGGTGCCAATCTCCATTCAGCCATGAAGCTCACTGAGTGACCTTGAGCCAGTCACTGACTCAATCTAACCTACCTCACAGGGTTGCTGTGGGGATTAAATGAGGAGAGGGAAAACGATGTACACTGTCTTGAGCTCCTTGGAGAAAAAGGTGGGATATAAACGTCAAATAATAAGAAGACCTTTTGAGTTCTACAGGGATTAAGAGGGAGGAAGCTGATAGCCAGACCCACCCGCTGGGCTGGTTAACAACAACAACAACAGAGGGAGGGGGCACTGGCTGAAGGCAAGACCAAGATGGGTGAAGCACTGTTCTATTCACCCTAATGGATCAGCAACTGATAGTTTGTCCTGTCCATTAATTTCAGCGAGTCTACTCTGGGGATACAACCCACTGATATCAGTGGAACATCCAGTGAAAGGGAACCATTGGCAGCTGCAGGGCAGAGACAGAAATTTAGCAGGTGAGGCTTTCCTCCTTCGCTTCATCTGCATTCTGAAAAAAGCTTTACCTGCTAAATTTCTTTCTGAGTTGCAACAATGGCACAGAAGCCTTTGTAGGAAAACACACACACACACACACACACACACACATTGAGATCCCTATTCATAGGTTCCAGGGCTGAGCCCGAATGAAAATAATGTGTTATCTGCTGGGCATTAAACCCAGCTAAAGGCCGTTGAAAAGAAAATGTCTGTGCCTGCTACACTCCTATGCCACCTTGCAGCTTAGAATAAGCTTTGCAAGTGGTTGCCTTTGTACAAAACAAGTTAAAGTTTAGAATTTACAAGCGGAGCAAAGCAAATCTGGTGTTCCGATAATGCCTGAAAAAGTAGCTGTGCTGGGTCTTACCTCTGAGGAAACCTGCAGAAGGTTGGGCTCTGCAGCTTAAGATAAGCTTTGTAGGAGGTTGGTTCTGCCATAGTACGTTTTAGCGGGGCTGATGCTGGAATCCTTGATCTATAATGGCTTGTGTGCAGATTTGGACTGGGAGGCAGGCCCAACATATGGCTTTTGCCACCCCACAATGCCGTTCGGTGACAGAGTTTACCCTCCAAACCACCATTTTGTAGCTGGGTCCACCCTGCACTGCCATTTTGTAACTGACCTGCTGGGAAGACCCCAAGGATCTCTCTCTCACACACTCGCTCTTTCTTTTAAAGTAGATCCCACAAGCCTGAAGTCTGCCTGCCCTCTTACTCTAGAGGAATAAAAGAAATAAGCTTATGGCTCCCTTAGTCTTCTTCCCCATGGTTGTGATCAGCACTGTGAAAGCATACTTAGTTTATTTGCCCATATGGCTGTTGCTGTGTAGTTTGGTAATTTCATATGTTTTATCAGCCTATCTATTCATCCTCCTTTTATCCTGTCAGACCCAAGTATGCTTACTCTACTCCAAATGTGTTCCATATTCCAAATTGACTCTTTCTTTCTTTTTTTGTTTCCTAGTCCCCCACAAGCAATGTGCCAATCCTTCTGTGTTCATATATTGCCATCTAGTGTGAGCAGAAGAAGTTGCAAGCAGATTCATAGCCAGAGAATGATGGGAAGGCAAGGAATGCCGTGTGGAGCAGTTCCACCACCAAAGAGAAGCAGAACTGGCTTCACAAGCTGCCTGGGTGGGAGACCACCTGGAAATCATCTGTAAGCTGCTTGAGATACTTTGAGAAAGAATAGGGGTAGAAATGTGAAATAAATAATGGGTCCATTCCCCCCCCCCAATCCTCCCAAGGCACCTTGTTTTCACAAATCCCCCTTGATTATATGTATCTCTCTTTTTAGGTGCCAGGCCAGCCTTAATAGAGTTTTCTGATGCTGAGCTCTTCTAAGCACTTCTTTTCCTTGTATTAGGGTCCCTTTTAAATCTTTACTTTCAGAGGTGCTGAGCAGTCAGGCAGTGTATGTCTTGGAGCAGAATCTGACCACCACAGAAAGACTAAAAGAAATGAGCACATTCACAATTGAAATATGTCTCAGAATAGTTCAAGCTGGGCTTTTCTACCCCATTCTACAGATGCCTTTGGCAACTTCCACACTGCACATTTAAATCACTCTTAAAGGTAAAGGTAAAGGTACCCCTGCCCGTACGGGCCAGTCTTGCCAGACTCTAGGGTTGTGCACTCATCTCACTCTATAGGCCGGGAGCCAGCGCTGTCTGCAGGCACCTCCGGGTCACGTAGCCAGCGTGACAAGCTGCATCTGGCGAGCCAGCGCAGCACACGGAACGCCGTTTACCTTCCTGCTGGTAAGCAGTCCCTATTTATCTACTTGCACCCAGAGGTGCTTTCAAACTGCTAGGTTGGCAGGCGCTGGGACCGAACGACGGGAGCGCACCCCGCCGCGGGGATTCAAACTGCCGACCATGCGATCGGCAAGTCCTAGGCGCTGAGGTTTTACCCACAGCGCCACCCGTGTCCCCTAAAAATCACTCTTATGCCACCACAAAACTCCTGACTTTCATCTTCTTTTAGATGGCAGGAAGCACTTGTGTTTCTATTGTTACCTTCGTCTCAACAAAACAAAAACCAGCCATTCTGGCTTTTCACTGAAATAGTCAACAGAGTTTACTGCTGGAGTGGCAGGACAACCAACTCACTATATTTTTAATCCGTTGCCTCTGGAAGTGATGCTTGGTTATTGGCTTATACATAAGCTTCATGTCATAAAACTCCAGACATTGCAGAAAAGTTTGCACCATGGATGCAGAACATGTAGAGTTTTAGACAGTAGCAGCACAACCCTCTGCACTCAGAAGTAAGTCTTGCTGAGTTTGATCCAACTGATTCACAGGTAAGCATATATATAGGACTATTGCTTTAATTGGACAAGATATGCTCACCAGAGAAATTGTGGCCTTTGTCTTGGTAGCATTACTGGAGCTATAGGTTTCTTCATTTGGTGTTGGCCTTAAAGCAGGGGTGGTAGGGAACCTTTTCCAGTCATATTCTGGTCTGGGCAAACTTCCGGGGGCCACATGCTGGTGAGAGGCAGGACAAAGCAAGGAATGCAATATGTAGCTTTGTAGAGTAGGCTACTTCCTACACACACACTCATCCCTCTCCATCCAGGCAAGTCAGAGGCATTATCCATGGAAACAACGCAGGCAAAAACACTCAAGGAGGATATAAAGTAGGGCTGGTGAGGGGTGTGGCTTAAGAGAGGGGTGTGGTTTAGGAGGGGGTGTGGCCTGGGGAGAGCCCTGAAGGACCTCATGTGGCCTCTGGGCCAAAGGTTCCCAACCCCTGTTTTAAAGCCTATCAGCATAATCCCTGGAAAGTGGGAGCGATTAGCACAAGCGCCGTGATCAATAAGTAGTATATTTGTGCAGATGCATGCAAAGTGGAACATGGCGCCTATCACCCATTTCCTCCTTTTTAAGGCCACTACTGGAAGTGGATGAAGCTATGAACAGTTAGGGTGGAAATGGCCACATATTAAAGAGGCAAAACTGGCTCATGATACTCTACTGTACTTTGTTGATGCCAGGACAGAGCAGACCTCAGGTGTCATAAGCCACCAGATGCTTTCTCTTAATGATATACCACTCCTATTTAATACAGTCCCCGGAGACACTTCTAACAGCATGAGGAGTATTATGCATTAGGCCAAACACAAGGCTGCTACTCTCAGGAACCTTCCAATTCAAATTAGGCAGATAATCTAATGAGACCTTACACAACATCATCATAAAAGAGTGTGAGAGACAGAAGGGGGAATATAACACAAAATGAGAAATGGGCTCTTGGGGAAACATGAATTACAGGGAACAGAGGCTGCGTAATTAGGCGCCTTGCATTCTTGGGTGAGAGAAAGAGCAGGTTTCTACTCAGAGCCACAGCACACCCTACGAAATGCATAAGGGAAGGAGGTGAGGGAGGGAGGCTCAGGTCTAGGAAAACCTGGCTCTGCACAGGGCCAGGGTGGTGTAGGGGTTAGAGTATGAGACTGTTTCAAGTACCCATTTGGCCATGAAGCTTCTTGGGTGATCTTGAGCCAAACACCAGTGTTCAGGCTAACCTTCCTCACAAGGCTGAAGAAAAAACTAGAGAAAGGGCCAAGATGGAAACCCTATTCATATTGGGCGAAGGGAGCACCAGCTAATTTAACCACAGAAGGGATTCCACTGCCAGCTGAGTTTGGACAATTTCAGTTTGACTCAGTTTCTAATCTATCCAGTCTTAAGTTCAGTTTGCCATATTTCTGCATCAATTTGCAATTAAAAAAAAAAATCGCCATGAAAATTCACCAGAATCTTAGTGCGCAGTTTTCCTAAAAGAAACATTTTTGCATGCAACTTTACCTAAAAAATACATATTTTTGCAAGCAGCACCCGTAATATAATCCATTTTTGTATGATGATTTAACAAATATTGGTAGGTGCATTCTAGTAAAGTTTTTGGTTGCAATCTGCATTGCAGAATTTCAAAGAAGTGTGTTTTCCAAAGGACTACTGCATTTTGGTTCAAGTATTGTTTGGGGAAGTGTGAATCAGGTAGGTTTGCATTAAAATGCAAAGCAAAGCAAATTACACCTCCATGTAGATGTACACTTTCTCCTAATAGCTGCACTTTTGTGCAAATTGATTTGGTTGGAGAAGTGCAAATTTCAAAGGACAGCTGTACTTTGGTTTACGTATTGTGTAAGGAAGTTAGGAATTAGATTCACATGAAAGTGGAAACCAGACTAAGTGTCTCTTCCCCCTGCTTATTTGGACCTGCAGAACATTTACAGCAAGAGTTAATTCGGTCTTGTGTGGTATTCCTGATCCACACACCCAACATGTGGAAGTTGCCATGTCAAAGCAAATTTAAAGTTAGGATTGGTATTCGGTAGCATGGAGGCCTGTTGGCTACAGGATGGTTATATGTGTAACACTAATTGAAATTATTAGGATGTCTGGGATCTGCCCTAAAAGGCATCTCCTCTATTATATCAAAAAAGGTTTTTGTGTGTTTTTTTTAATGTGGTTCTCTGGCAAATTATTGCTTGGGAAAATCTCATGGCTCTTCCCCTCCAACCCTTCCAGCATGAATGCCTACACTTAGCCCACTCAGCAAGTCTTTAGGAAAATAGCTAAGAGGATTTTCCTCTTCAGATTAAACCATCTCCAATGATCTCACCCTCGGCGAATCAGCAGGCGGTTGGGATAGGAAAGAGTTTACTATGGTTTTAATTTAGGGCAAGATGGATGCATTTCCTTCAACATCATTGGGCAAATTAACAAAGAAAGACATGAACACACATCGCTGAAGCTAAACTGATTTGGTGTGAGCAAAAGAACTCTAACCCTTCTCTCCCTTGCCTCTTTATACTGGATATGTGCTTGTATTTCTCTGTTGGCATTTAGTCAATCCACAGGGGGAGGGAGATATGCAATTGTAGAAGGAGGAAACTGATTATTTAAAAAAGCTTGTTTGAAAATCTTATGGGTCAAATCCAGCACAACCTTAGACATGTTTAGGCACACTCCTATACATGTCTGCTCAGCGGTAAGTTCCATTGAATTTAATGGAGCTGTTCCCCGGAAGTGGATATAACACACAGCATCATTAATCACCCTTAGCTGCTAATGTAGCCAAACACCTATTAGGCTTGCTTCTATTTTCCCTCCTTCCTCCCTTGAATTTTATTTTCCTTCTCAGCTACTATATCTGGCTTTGAACTTTTCTTTTTGCCTTCCTCCCCCGTTCTGTATTCAACTGCAAATAGCATGGAGGATTTTTGTTTAACCTAAAGCCTGCCGCTTTGGCCTCTCTCTCTGTGGGTCCCACTTGCCTTCTGGTTTTGCTCTGTGCCTTTTCCCTTTCTGATCCAAATTCAATATGCTGTTTTGTCTTCAGTTTTCTGCTCCATTGAAATGTGGATTTTTCCTCCTCCTTCTGCAGTAGCTGCTAACACAAAAAGCTCATAAGCAAAGAGGGAAATCCCCAGAATTTAAATGCCACTCTTTATTCCCACCACAAGAACCCCCCAAATTCCTTCTCTTTAATATTATAGTTCCAGATTTTATCAGCGAGACTGGTTTGCATTAACTTTTACAGTGCAGAGACATTAAGTAAAATTTAGAGCGGCCTCTTCTGAGCTGGCAGATTTTGCTTATTTTCATATTTTTGCTCGTTAAGTAGCAGACCACATTTCCATCCAGTCTATGGTCAAACTACTCTCCATTAGGGCAGCAAGACTGCATGGGTTTAATTTGCAGAAGACAAAAAAAAAAGTTAATCAGCAGGGGACCAAAGGAGTGAATGAAAAAGAGAATGTTACAGATGGCCTGTTGTGCATCTAGTAAGAAGCTCGCTTTCATTGCTTAACCTGTAAGTTTTTCCATCTTTCAGTATGAAGGTCTGCTATCCTGCAAATGCATTTGGATGTAATGAAGAGATGAACCAGTTTTAAAAAGGTAGATGTAAAAAAAAAAAAAGAATTCTTAATTGATTAACCAATAGAATTATCAGAATAAAAACTGACAACTGAGAAGACAAAGTAATGAAACAATGTGCATATCACACAGACTGCTATTTCAAAGCTAGATATAGCAGCACAACCGAGGCCAATTACTGCACAGAGTACCTTTGGCCACCAAATAGCAGCTCCAGAGAGGCAGTTTTTGGCAGCAGAACAGCATGGCGGCTAATGCCGTCATCGATCGGGCCTCTTGCAGCTGCTTTTTGTTATGTAAGAGGCATGTAAGAGGTCTAAGTGGTATTGTGGGCGGCTCTTCA